TGTTTTCTAACCTGTGTTCTGTAGTGTTGTTTTCTAACCTGTGTTATGTAGTGTTGTTTTCTAACCTGTGTTATGTAGTGTTGTTTTCTAACCTTTGTTCTATAGTGTTGTTTTCTAACCTGTGTTATGTAATGTTGTTTTCTAACCTGTGTTCTGTAGTGTTGTTTTCTAACCTGTGTTCTGTAGTGTTGTTTTCTAACCTGTCAATCAAACATGACTGGAAAGCTTGAATATGTCGGATGTTTCGACGATCACTCGGTCATTCTTTTTTTTTTTTAAAAAAAAAAAACAGCGTTCCGGATTTTCTGTGACACCCCGGTATTAGATTGAGGGTCACAGACCATAACAAAATGTTGCGCAAATACAGCAGATGGCCGATCGCAACCTTCTCAGTCCTTCGCGAAAATCAGTGTTCTATAACTCTACGTGTATTTCTCATCTCTATTTCCTATGTGTTTTAAGCGTGCGGGTCCACATACGGTAGTGCAGGTTTACTCGCCTTGAATGACGTGAATTCTGCTTTTAATTATTCGAGTGCTGAGTTGGCCTTTTTATTTGTCGGTTGTGATGTGAGAGTCCCTAATACTAACATTGAATAGCCAAACCTACATATTTAAATATGTGTACATGCTCTGATTACTGTAAGTGTGAATGGGTATCTGTTTATACATATCTGTAACAAAACCTGTAGGCTGTAACCACGAAGTTATCGAGGGAGGCGAATTAAGAGATATCATCTTTCCCCTTGTAACACCGATGTTATCTTCAGGCAGTCTCTCAATTCACATAAAATGTATACGTTGTCAAAAAACAGGAGCTGCATTTTGTTAGATGCGAGAAGGTTTTAATGTATTCAATTTAAAATGGACATTAACCACTAAATCAGTGTACACGTTGAGGAATGTGTGCAAATATCTCTCTTTTTAACTCATTTTATCAAGCATATATATATATTTCAATCCCAATATAAATTTAAACGAGGGATTGAGTACAAGCTGTTACAACCTATCATAGCCATCTCCTTTAATTAATTAATAAAACTTTTTTTTTTTTTTTTTTTTTTTTTTAAAAAAAAAAAAAAAATTTTTTTTTTTTTTTTTTTTTTTTTTAAAGATAGAGAAGAAAACTTTTACTTTAGTTGAAATTTTGATAAGTTGAAAAGGTTTGTGATCAAAAGGATGAAACTCAAAAAGAGTGTTAAAATCTAAATAACATTTTACTTTGCCAAATAAGGCCACACGCTGCTTTCCAATCCGGTGGTCGGATTTGGGTCGTTTTTTTACCGGGATTTTGAATCTAGTTCACACAGGGCCGACAATGTAAAAGAACAATGGCAAGGAAACACATTTCTTGCTGCCATTCAAGATAGACAACTCTTATCATATACGGTGTCCTGTATGCGAAGGGATCTGGGCCGGCTTTCGTTTATCGAGATCCAAACGTCTGGACCGGTTGGTGCACAGTTGTTCGTTTATGAAATATGGTCGGAGCCAGTAATCTGATGCCGCTTTCAGGCGAGCCTTGCAAGGCCTGCATAAACGTTTGCAGGTCCGCAAGGATTTGTACCAAAAGCGGTTAAATTTGGAAACAGACGAAACGGTTGTTCCGCATAAATGAACAGGCCCCAAGTAATACATCAACTGCTAAATTAGATAAACATTACTGCTGTTACAATATTGAGTTTTCGCCTGCCAATTACTTTATTTTTCTTGACATTTTAGAATGAATAATTTAAAATATGCTATGAAAAGGATTTATATTTTACATTTTACAAGTTACGAACTGCCGTGCTTCATTTTGACATGGAATGTTGCTGATGAAGTCATATAAACATTTTAATTGAGGTTTTTTTACAGAAACATTTGAAAAATTCGTCATCGTGCATAGTACCTAAACTTTATTTACGAAACATATTCCTGCAAAAAGGATGATGATTCAGCTGCAAAATTTATTATATTTTGTCTAACCTTTCTCTTTACGAAGTCGCCCGTTTCATGATACGTATACAAACTTGTGTTAAAGCTTTGACGTTAATTTAACTGATATATTTTATTGCAAAACCGTTCCGCAAACAAATCGGAGAAATGTTTAACCAGCTTATCAAAGACCTTTTCGACGTTAACATTTGATAACAGTACATAGCACACAATGATACACCTAAAGGTTTTGGAATGCAAACATGAAGAAAGACTAATAGAAAGAGGGAGGACGAAGTAGATGTAGATATTTATATATTGTTCAGAAATATATCTAGCAAAGTTACCATAAATTATGCCATACGATATGATTTGTTTAATATAATATAGTTTGAGAGCAAATGAGAGTGTCCATGTTCCACATAGCCGGAGCTTGTGATATACTGCTTTGTAGCGTGCAAATATGTGAATCCAGGATTTGGTTTGGTTTGGTTTGGTTTAGTATTGTTAAACGTTCTATCAACAGCTATGCTCATTTAAGGACGGTCTCCCCTTTGTGCAAGATGCATGCGTGTAGTGTATGCGTGTGTGTTTTGGGAGGCTGTGATATGTTCGTGTGTGTCTCCTTGTAATAGCGCGGATCTAATGCCGACTTTATAGTGCTACCTCACTGAAACATACACCCCACCCTGTCATATTATACTGACATCGGGCAAACCAGTCGCCCCACTCCTAAATTGCTGATACTTAAGCAGGAGTAGAAACTACTATTTTTAAAGACTCTGGTATGTCTCGGCCAGGGGACAGAACCCAAATCCGGGGGCGAACTCTCAACGACGAAAGACGAAACAACGAAATGGCACATATTAGCCACCGTACAAACGTGAGGCATTGTCAAGGGAGCGTTAGGAAGAAAGAAGAAAGTTGGTTAGAAAGAAAGGTAAGGTCCCAAATTTAGTCGCCTTTTACGATCATGCAATGGGGGCATCAGGTACAACTATTACGCCCTACCTGCAAGGACAATCCATGAAAAGTGTTCACTGTTAAAACAGCTTCAGTCTGTTTCGATAGATAAAATGCTGCTTGTACATGTAAAATCAATACAGGAATTGGTATTTCCAATATGAAGACCCCATATCTTTTCATGTAAATCTAAAAATAAGTGAAATCTACTACTGTGTACTGAGTGATATAGCGGTCATCACGTGCATGCTTACAGGTAGATCCGTATCATAATAAGATAGACTATTTGTGTGCTTGGGAACGTCTGAAACCTGGAGGTCAAATATATAACAATAATCACAGAGAACATTGAACTTCAGAAATGTATGTCCATGTACATAAAAACACCAAATGTACCGACGTCACCGCCAGAGTTAGTCCGCCCTACTTAGCAGTACTGCCGGACATGTAATATAGATAGTGTGATTCAGTACTGGTCCTGTGGGAACAACAGGTGCGCACTTTCCCAAACAGCAAGTCCTACATAACTGACTCACAGTAGTACAAGTCCATAACAAACTTAGCCATGAAGATTCTAGCTGTTTTAGCTCTACTAGCCGTCGTCCTGGTAAGTCTACCGCCCCCTCCTTGGTCAGTGCTAGCGGACTCAATTTGGCAGCGGGTTAGTTATTGGGAAATCGTTATTTAAATCAGTAACTCACAATAATAAACCTGCTGATTGTAGAGACTAGTTTTTTAAGGAGATTATCATTGATAACTCAGAAATGTGTCATCGAAACACGGGTTTGTCATTGTCCGTCTGAGTTTTGTGCCATCAGTTTGTGACAAATCCTCCCAATTAATGTTACCCAGAGATATCACCGGTGGTGGTAGTTTGATGCCGTCATATGGTGTGTCGTTTAATTATGGTTCCATCAATCGTCTAAATTAAACGAAGTTGATGCTGACATTAGGCTGTCACAGCTGGTGTGTGATAACAATGTTTTATATATTTTGTGGTGACAGTTCCTGTGTTTGCCAAGGGTTCTCTGTGATATTGGTGTGTGTATCTATCCGGTTCGGACTGCGACTGTATTGCTTTTAAGTCACCAAAACATTGCCCCAAATATATGACCAGATTAAGACTTTAGCTAGTTTACATTTTAATCGTTCAAATATACAAGATTTCAAAATTAAATACATGTCATAAAAAAATGAAATTTCAATGCAGATTTAAAAGTTGTATATCACAGCGCTTGACATGCGATAATGTCATTACTTGAGGGTAGAACTAGTCCTATTGCGTTGCTTTGGTACTGTACGTTTGTTTATTAACTATTCAGGAATGACGTGTGTCTGTCCTTACATTTCCTCAGCTAGTGGACGGCCAGACGGAACAGGTGTGCCATACCCAGTCAGACTGCGGAGACTGGGAGTGCTGTGTAGCTGACGCGGATAAACGGTCAGCCAATCACAAACGGTTCATTTTCTCACATACTTCCGGGGTGTGTCGCCCCAAGCGGTACCAGGGCCTCACCTGTCACGTTTTCCTACAGAAGTTCGGCGAGATTTACAACGACTACTGTCCCTGTGACGAAGGGCTCACGTGCGAGGGCACCACTATTCTCCCTAACGGGCACCACACCAATCCTAAATGCATCCCATCGGAGGAGTCGCACAGCACCCCAGCACCGTGAAGACTTTCACTAAAAGTTAATGAGAAATCCGAGTAACTGTTTAACTAATAATACCAATAAATCCGTTCAGTCTGACGAAATTTCATGTTGTTCCTTTACGACTGTTCATTCGAAATTGTTTTTCAATATTCATCAACCACGTCGACGAGGTGACGTCACTTTTCATGGTTGATACAGTAATTATCTTTATGGACAATAATGCAGGCGCATGCATGTTATTTTTGTCCAATCAAAGATGCATGTTCAATGCTCTTCCAACAGATTCTTTTGTATTGCAAGTCAATGTAGTTGTGTGCTACTTGTCTTTGACGCTTTATCTTTGTTTTGTGATGTTACACGCATACATGTACATTTCTAACCGTTTCTACGTACATCTACATGACCAATGGCTGAAGCGTCAGTGGTTATGACTTCTGCTTTTATTTCGGATTCTCGCTGAAAGAAAAACAAGGCACCACATGTTTGCGCGTGCGCGATCAAAATTTATTTTTATATAAGTCATTCTGTGTTATAAGCACTAAAGTAGACACAAAAATACTTCACATTATTATCATTATATGTATTGGAAAACATAATTAAGTATAAAGAAAAGGAATGCCAAAATATATCATGTTCTCGTAATGCATAATATGATATATATTATATATAGAATAACGCTACAAAAAAAAAAAATAAAAAAAAAAAATAAAAAAAAAAATGAATACCTGTTTATATCACATTAAATCTTCTGCATTTGTCTTACCTAAACCCGTACAAATAGACATTCTCTTTACTATTACTCAATCTGTTACAAAGACTGTATTTGTTGAAGTAATGTCCGCCCGTACAGACACAATATCTGGTTACAGAGAAGAGCCACCTCACCTACGTTATGTGCGGAAGAGGGCGTAGCCTAAGGAATTTCGAGAAGGAGAAAAGATAATGACATATTTAACAGGAGATTGAGAGCTAAGATAACTAACATCTTAAACAAGAGATTGAGAGCTAAGATAACTAACATCTTAAACAATAGATTGAGAGCTTAGATAACTAACATCTTAAACAAGAGATTGAGAGCTTAGATAACTACCATCTTAAACAAGAGAATGAGAGCTTAGATAACGAACATCTTAAACAAGATATTGATAGCTTAGATAACTAAAATCTTAAACAAGAGATTTAGAGCTTAGATAACTACCATCTTAAACAAGAGATTGAGAACTTAGATAACTAACACCTTAAACAATAGATTGAGAGCTTAGATAACTAACATCTTAAACAAGAGATTGAGAGGTGCGATAATGACAAACTTAACAAAAGATTGAAAGCTAAGATTGATAATGACATACTTAACAAGGGATTGAGAGTTAAGACAATGACATATTTAACATGAGATCGAGAGTAACGGACAAGGGAAATGTATGTAGTTTTGTGTTTATCGTTCAACGGGGGATAACTCTAAGTTCCGATTGGTCTGGTGAGTAAATAGACTTTATCTATCGTTAGTGCAAACAGATTCGGCAATGCTTACAATCATCCGTGAGCTCACGTCTGTTTTCTTTCACAAAGGGAATGAAAGTAGGAATATATATAATTGTGAATGATTTGTAATGAAACTTAGATTTGTTTTCAGTACGAGACACGCCTACATTTGTACATTGGGCAGTATGGTGTCATACACGTGTTATAAGTTGGGAACATGGCAAATTGGAGGTAAATCATATGTATAACTCCAATAGGTAACGACCCATACTTTTTGTTGTTGTAATGCCCCGCCCCTAGCTCACATAGCTAGTATATTCATTCACTATTAACCATGTCTTTTATTGACTTATTCTGAATACTACTTATCTGTGATCACATTCATTGCTTTTCATATTAACACTAATTTTATATATTAATTGTTTTCGAAAGGGTCATATCCCTGGGGCCTTTGTGGGTAGGGGACTCCCAATCACTTAGAAACCTGGGATATGATACTTTCTTTTTCTGTGATAATTATTACTGCATTTTTTAAATATATGTGGTTATCACCCTTTACTTGTAATATAATTTGTTATTGTTATGTCGCAATAAAAGCTCTCAAGAGCTAATGTTTCTTGTTTACATGTATGCGACTTTAAGATTCTTGTATCTTGTATCTTGAACGACTTAATACTCGAGAAGTTTAAGGCTATTGTACCCTCTTTCTTTCGTGTCTAAAAAGAAATTCGTATACAATATAAAATATAATGAAATAATTGATCAAACGAAATAAAACTCTTAATTTTGTCAACACTGACTAACGCAGAAGTCCAAAACCATTTTTAATGGTTCCGTCGAAAAAACAACCCCAAAACAACCTGAACCTTTAAAACACGCAGTGTTCCTATAGTAACTACTGTTTATGCCGGGATGCCATCATGTTGACTTTTTGTACAGCTGATTACATGTATCTGTTAGAGCACGCCGTAATTTTATCGTCAGAAAGTTCCGTACATAAACGTTGTTGGGTCGTGTCTTTGTCAAGAAGGTAAATGGTATCAGCGTTTTCAATCCGATACCCTACTTTAACATCAATATACAACGATAACGTTGTCCCTTAAGTTTATACCTGTCCAACATATACACACCCTACACCTGTGACCGCGTTTATCAGAGAGCAAAGTAACCACGTGACACACGTTTTCACGAAGTCCTATCACTGACCTATATATTTGATCAATCTTTGCAACGTGTAAGGTTCGCTAATACAATAATCTGATAATTTCTCAGTAAGCTTGAACTGCCATTTTTTTTTTATTAAAGAGGTTTTCTCACTGGATTTTGGCAATAATTCATTATGTAAAAGATAAGTAGTGTTTCAACTATTTAGTTTAAACTTTATTTTATTGTCGGTATAATATTTCAGTTATACAATTATTTTACATTTTACTAGTATTAACTCTTAACCAATACCATCCTTGCAAAAGACATTATTGCTAGAAAAATAAGAAATAGTTTCAGACTTAGTGTGATCCCCGTGATAGGAGCGGCATTTATTCGGACAGCTACAAAAGAACATGTAATAACGATGGCATGGTACAAGGAACTGGACCCGAATAAAAATGTTCGCTCGATGCTCATAACTTGACTATACATATATATATGTAAGCAAAGTAATAGCGACAGTGCAGACAATGAAATTAGTAAAGGTTATATTACATTATGTTAATTAATAATATCATACTGTTCGTATTCTATATCATTATTACCTACAAATACCGATATTCAGCCCCTTTCGAAACGGTATTTAAAAGCTGTATGATGGTCGGAGAACAAGGTAAACATTATACAGTTTATACATCAGCGTGTGCAGTCAACACAGATTTTCTTAAGTCTGAGCAAACTTAGTTATCTTTATTTATCTTAGGTAAATAGAAGGAACACATCGCTGAGACGGTAGAACAAAGTTAAGATCACGATATGTGTTCGACTGATCGACTAGCTAATAGGATGGGTATCTCTTAAAAATAAACGCCAGTGATATCTAGTTAAAATACATGATCAGGAAACACTGATACCAGAATAGGTGGACGCGTTGTACACGACGGGTCAGTGATAACACGATAGACGCCACACTTCCCCGTTTGGTCACAGTCGCCAAATTAAAGACCCCTGTGATATCAACCCTCAGCGAACCCCTGGTAACAACCAAACAAGGTCAATTTCAGCCTGCAAAGTCCCACGCTACCTTATGAGGTAAGTTTCAGTTATACGGAGTCTCGACGTCTTATGAGGTATAAGTTTCAGTTCTATGCAGAAATCATGCTGTCGAATAATTTTAGTTTCAGCCTCACTTAGACTCCAGCTGTCTAACACTGTAAATAATGCATCCACTTAGACTCCAGCTGTCTAACACTATAAATAATGTATCCACTTATACTCCAGCTTTCTAACACTATAAATAATGTATCCACTTATACTCCAGCTGTCTAACACTATAAATAATATATCCACTTAGACTCCAGCTGTCTAACACTGTAAATAATGCATCCACTTAGACTCCAGCTGTCTAGCACTATAAGTAATATATCCACTTAGACTCCAGCTGACTCACACTATAAATAATATATCCACTTATACTCCAGCTGTCTAACACTGTAAATAATGCATCCACTTAGACTCCAGCTGTCTAACACTATAAATAATATATCCACTTAGACTCTATCTGACTAAGACTATAAATAATGTATCCACTTATACTCCAGCTGTCTAACACTATAAATAATGTATCCACTTAGACTCCAGCTGTCTAACACTATAAATAATGTATCCACTTAGACTCCAGCTGTCTAACACTATAAATAATGTATCCACTTAGACTCCAGCTGTCTAACACTATAAATAATGTATCCACTTAGACTCCAGCTGTCTAACACTATAAATAATGTATCCACTTAGACTCCAGCTGTCTAACACTATAAATAATGTATCCACTTAGACTCCAGCTGTCTAACACTATAAATAATGTATCCACTTAGACTCCAGCTGTCTAACACTATAAATAATGTATCCACTTAGACTCCAGCTGTCTAACACTATAAATAATGTATCCACTTAGACTCCAGCTGTCTAACACTATAAATAATGTATCCACTTAGACTCCAGCTGTCTAACACTATAAATAATGTATCCACTTAGACTCCAGCTGTCTAACACTATAAATAATGTATCCACTTAGACTCCAGCTGTCTAACACTATAAATAATGTATCCACTTAGACTCCAGCTGTCTAACACTATAAATAATGTATCCACTTAGACTCCAGCTGTCTAACACTATAAATAATGTATCCACTTAGACTCCAGCTGTCTAACACTATAAATAATGTATCCACTTAGACTCCAGCTGTCTAACACTATAAATAATGTATCCACTTAGACTCCAGCTGTCTAACACTATAAATAATGTATCCACTTAGACTCCAGCTGTCTAACACTATAAATAATGTATCCACTTAGACTCCAGCTGTCTAACACTATAAATAATGTATCCACTTAGACTCCAGCTGTCTAACACTATAAATAATGTATCCACTTAGACTCCAGCTGTCTAACACTATAAATAATGTATCCACTTAGACTCCGGCTGACTAACACTATAAATAATGTATCCACTTAGACTCCAGCTGACTAACACTATAAATAATGTATCCACTTAGACTCCAGCTGTCTAACACTATAAATAATGTATCCACTTAGACTCCAGCTGTCTAACACTATAAATAATGTATCCACTTAGACTCCAGCTGTCTAACACTATAAATAATGTATCCACTTAGACTCCAGCTGTCTAACACTATAAATAATGTATCCACTTAGACTCCAGCTGTCTAACACTATAAATAATGTATCCACTTAGACTCCAGCTGTCTAACACTATAAATAATGTATCCACTTAGACTCCAGCTGTCTAACACTATAAATAATGTATCCACTTAGACTCCAGCTGTCTAACACTATAAATAATGTATCCACTTAGACTCCAGCTGTCTAACACTATAAATAATGTATCCACTTAGACTCCAGCTGTCTAACACTATAAATAATGTATCCACTTAGACTCCAGCTGTCTAACACTATAAATAATGTATCCACTTAGACTCCAGCTGTCTAACACTATAAATAATGTATCCACTTAGACTCCAGCTGTCTAACACTATAAATAATGTATCCACTTAGACTCCAGCTGTCTAACACTATAAATAATGTATCCACTTAGACTCCAGCTGTCTAACACTATAAATAATGTATCCACTTAGACTCCAGCTGTCTAACACTATAAATAATGTATCCACTTAGACTCCAGCTGTCTAACACTATAAATAATGTATCCACTTAGACTCCAGCTGTCTAACACTATAAATAATGTATCCACTTAGACTCCAGCTGTCTAACACTATAAATAATGTATCCACTTAGACTCCAGCTGTCTAACACTATAAATAATGTATCCACTTAGACTCCAGCTGTCTAACACTATAAATAATGTATCCACTTAGACTCCAGCTGTCTAACACTATAAATAATGTATCCACTTAGACTCCAGCTGTCTAACACTATAAATAATGTATCCACTTAGACTCCAGCTGTCTAACACTATAAATAATGTATCCACTTAGACTCCAGCTGTCTAACACTATAAATAATGTATCCACTTAGACTCCAGCTGTCTAACACTATAAATAATGTATCCACTTAGACTCCAGCTGTCTAACACTATAAATAATGTATCCACTTAGACTCCAGCTGTCTAACACTATAAATAATGTATCCACTTAGACTCCAGCTGTCTAACACTATAAATAATGTATCCACTTAGACTCCAGCTGTCTAACACTATAAATAATGTATCCACTTAGACTCCAGCTGTCTAACACTATAAATAATGTATCCACTTAGACTCCAGCTGTCTAACACTATAAATAATGTATCCACTTAGACTCCAGCTGTCTAACACTATAAATAATGTATCCACTTAGACTCCAGCTGTCTAACACTATAAATAATGTATCCACTTAGACTCCAGCTGTCTAACACTATAAATAATGTATCCACTTAGACTCCAGCTGTCTAACACTATAAATAATGTATCCACTTAGACTCCAGCTGTCTAACACTATAAATAATGTATCCACTTAGACTCCAGCTGTCTAACACTATAAATAATGTATCCACTTAGACTCCAGCTGTCTAACACTATAAATAATGTATCCACTTAGACTCCAGCTGTCTAACACTATAAATAATGTATCCACTTAGACTCCAGCTGTCTAACACTATAAATAATGTATCCACTTAGACTCCAGCTGTCTAACACTATAAATAATGTATCCACTTAGACTCCAGCTGTCTAACACTATAAATAATGTATCCACTTAGACTCCAGCTGTCTAACACTATAAATAATGTATCCACTTAGACTCCAGCTGTCTAACACTATAAATAATGTATCCACTTAGACTCCAGCTGTCTAACACTATAAATAATGTATCCACTTAGACTCCGGCTGTCTAACACTATAAATAATATATCCACTTAGACTCCAGCTGTCTAACACTATAAATAATGTATCCACTTAGACTCCAGCTGTCTAACACTATAAATAATGTATCCACTTAGACTCCAGCTGTCTAACACTATAAATAATGTATCCACTTAGACTCCAGCTGTCTAACACTATAAATAATGTATCCACTTAGACTCCAGCTGTCTAACACTATAAATAATGTATCCACTTAGACTCCAGCTGTCTAACACTATAAATAATGTATCCACTTAGACTCCAGCTGTCTAACACTATAAATAATGTATCCACTTAGACTCCAGCTGTCTAACACTATAAATAATGTATCCACTTAGACTCCAGCTGTCTAACACTATAAATAATGTATCCACTTAGACTCCAGCTGTCTAACACTATAAATAATGTATCCACTTAGACTCCAGCTGTCTAACACTATAAATAATGTATCCACTTAGACTCCAGCTGTCTAACACTATAAATAATGTATCCACTTAGACTCCAGCTGTCTAACACTATAAATAATGTATCCACTTAGACTCCAGCTGTCTAACACTATAAATAATGTATCCACTTAGACTCCAGCTGTCTAACACTATAAATAATGTATCCACTTAGACTCCAGCTGTCTAACACTATAAATAATGTATCCACTTAGACTCCAGCTGTCTAACACTATAAATAATGTATCCACTTAGACTCCGGCTGTCTAACACTATAAATAATATATCCACTTAGACTCCAGCTGTCTAACACTATAAATAATGTATCCACTTAGACTCCAGCTGTCTAACACTATAAATAATGTATCCACTTAGACTCCAGCTGTCTAACACTATAAATAATGTATCCACTTAGACTCTATCTGGCTAACACTATAAATAATATATCCACTTAGACTCCAGCCGTCTAACACTATAAATAATGTATCCACTTAGACTCTATCTGGCTAGCACTATAAATAATGTATCCACTTAGACTCCAGCTGTCTAACACTATAAATAATGTATCCACTTAGACTCTATCTGGCTAACACTATAAATAATATATCCACTTAGACTCCAGCTGTCTAACACTATAAATAATTTATCCACTTAGACTCCAGCTGACTCACACTATAAATAATGTATCCACTTAGACTCCAGCTGTCTCACACGATAAATAATGTATCCACTTAGACTCTATCTGGCTAACACTATAAATAATATATCCACTTAGACCCCAGCCGTCTAACACTATAAATAATGTATCCACTTATACTCCAGCTGTCTAACACGATAAATAATGTATCCACTTAGACTCAAGCTGTCTAACACTATAAATAATGTATCCACTTAGACTCCAGCTGACTCACACTATAAATAATGTATTTATTGTGTTAACTCCCGTTATCCAACACAATAAATAATGTGTACTACTTTTACTTTGGCTATCACGCAAGGTCCGACGAAGATTTCTGCTGCTTAATGAGGTTATAAAGCATTATTTAGACTCTTGTTCTAACTAGGACAGAGTTGTTAGGCTTGTTTAGACACCTGATATAGCAAGGCAAGATTTAGCCTTATGTAGACCATTGTTATATCGATGTAAGATTTAGCTTAGTTTAGACTCTTGCTCTAACGAGGGAAAATTAAGCCTTATTTAGATTCCTGCTCTTACATGGTTAAATTCATCCTTATGTAGACCCATGTTTTAACAATGTAAGATTTAGCCTTATTCAGACTCTTGCTCTTACAATGTTGGTTAGACCCTTGCTGTCACGAGGTAAGATTAATCCTTATTTAGACCCTTTCTCTAACAATGCAAGCTTCAGCCTTTTAAGACCCTTGTTCTAACTACATAGGTAAGATTTAGGCTTGCTTAGACACCTGCTCTAACGAGGGAATATTTAGCCTTATGTATACTCTTGCTCTAACGATGTAAGATTTAGCCTTATTTTAACTCTTGTTCTAACGAGGGAAGATTTACATAATGTAGCCTTATTTAGACTAATGCTCTAACAAAGTAAGATTAAGGATTATTTAAACCATTGTTCTTAACAGGTTCTAAAAGAATATAAATTGCCATCTGTCTAACGATCTCAATATTTAATATGTTAACGCAATGCCTTAAAAAATAAATGTCCAAAACTATCTTTGATTTTAATAATTTAATGGTTGGTCAAAAATCTCAAACCGTCAATGTGATTTGCGGAAAATTAAATCGGATCCGTAGGAGGGTCTTGTTAAGGCTGCTTGATTTTGGATATAACGTATACTTTAGTTACACCACCTATTTGCATATTTTTCTACTATTTTTAGTGTCATTTCCAGTGTTGAGCATCAAATATGTTGTTTCCATTTGCCAATGAGAGTCACTGTTTAGTATCAACTATATTGTTTCCATTTGATACTGATTGTCATCTCATCATATAGCTGTTTATCCCATTTGCAGTCGTTTATCCCATTTGCCAGTCGTTGACCCCGTTTGTAAGTAGTTGACCCCATTGGTCCTTACTTGATCCCATTTGTCATTCGTTGACCCCATTTGTCAGTAGTTGACCCCATTGGTCCTTACTTGACCCCATTTGTCAGTAGTTGACCCCATTGGTCCTTCCTTGACCCCGTTTGTCAGTAGTTGACCCCATTGGTCCTTACTTTACCCCATTTGTCAGTAGTTGACCCCATTGGTCCTTAATGACCCCGTTTGACAGTAGTTGCCCCCATTGGTCCTTAATGACCCCGTTTGACACTAGTTGCCCCCCTTTGTCAGTAGTTGACCCCATTGGTCCGTACTTGACCCCATTTGTCAGTAGTTGCCCCCATTGGTCCTTCCTTGACCCCGTTTGTCAGTAGTTGACCCCATTGGTCCTTACTTGCCCCCATTTGACAGTAGTTGACCCCATTGGTCCTTCCTTGACCCCGTTTGTCACTAGTTGACCCCATTGGTCCTTACTTGACCCCATTTGACAGTAGTTGCCCCCATTGGTCCTTAATGACCCCATTTGACAGTAGTTGCCCCCATTGGTCCTTAATGACCCCGTTTGACAGTAGTTGCCCCCATTGGTCCTTAATGACCCCATTTGACAGTAGTTGCCCCCATTGGTCCTTAATGACCCCATTTGACAGTAGTTGCCCCCATTGGTCCTTAATGACCCCGTTTGACAGTAGTTGCCCCCATTTGTCAGTAGTTGACCCCATTGGTACTTACTTGACCCCATTTGTCAGTAGTTGCCCCCACTTGTCAGTAGTTGACCCCATTGGTCCTTACTTGGCCCCATTTGACAGTAGTTGACCCCATTGGTCCTTCCTTGACCCCGTTTGTCACTAGTTGACCCCATTGGTCCTTACTTGACCCCATTTGTCAGTAGTTAATCTCATTTGTTTGTCAGTCGTTGATCCCATTTTTCAGTACTTGACCTCATTTTTCCGTAGTTGACCTCATTTTTCAGTAGTTGACCCCATTTGTTAGCAGTTGAACCCTTTGCCAGTAGTTGACCCCGTTGGTCAGAAGTTAACCCCATTTGTCAGTAGTTGACCCAATTTCTCAGTACTTGACCACATTTATCAGTACCTGATTTGTCACTGATTCATATTGTATTGTCACTTATGTGTTTATTCTTTTTCTTTACAATAACCGCTACCATCTACCGATGTAAGATAGTGACCTTTAAGAGTATTCTTACAAAAGTGAGGTCCCTGCTGTCCTGTTCAGATGAGGAATAAATTGGTGTATAATCAGTTTTTATACGAAACAGAATTACTTCTGGTTACCAAGCGTGTTGCTGGGTTCAAAACTATTAACTATGAACGCGCTGAATCTTCAAGCTTAACCTAACACCGAAGGCGCGTGCGAGGATGGCGCAAGTACGCGCTGAATGTTTCTTTAATGTAGGTTACAGAAATAATAAACAAAGGAACATGTGTCATTTATGCGAAGTGCAAATAAGGATAATTTATGTATTTTTCCTATCTCTCGGAAAAAGCCACAATTGTATGAAACTTAAATGATACGAACCTTCGTTTTATCATTGCTTTACTACGAAAAATAACAATACAGTGATATCTATTATAAAATTGTTCTTCCATTCTCTGTTTAGATCTTTTAAAATGACAGCATCATTCCGAGCAGTGCTATCCACGATCTTGGTAGTAAGCTCCCTTTCCGCTGTCGTTTCCGGTGAGAAGAGATATCAGTTCAGCGAGACTAATCCGAATGGATTCACCGTCTCAATCAATGGTATTACGGTAAGTGAAGGAGGAGTTAAATAACTAAACTAGCTACCTAAGGTGTTTACACGTGACAGTTGATTCAGTACTCAAGAGTTCGCTCCGAATAGTACGACTTCCGTGACTCCTGACGGCCAACCTTATAACACGGTTTCCAAAGATGCAGGTTGATGAAAAAAATATGGGATCTCGCAAAGAAATTTGGTGTTTGTTTGTCTGTTTGAAGGTTGTTATTTTTGATAATGCTCATTTCAGTGCCTTGTGGTTGTGTTGTTTTTGATAATACTCATTTCAGTGCCTTGTGGTTTTGTTGTTTTTGATAATGCTCATTTCAGTGCCTTGTGGTTGTGTTGGTTTTGATAATGCTCATTTCAGTGCCTTGTGGTTTTGTTATTTTTGATAATGCTCATTTCAGTGCCTTGTGGTTTTGTTGTTTATACCCGGCTTCTCGATGTGAGGACGTGACATTACTTGGATTAGACTTAGATTTTTACAAGGCGGGTGTCATCGATGAAGCAGAAGACGCCTAACCTTCTGGAACACCTGGTCTTATTATCCTTGAACTTTTACAAGGGTCTCCATGTAAATCTTTCATTTGTTCATATTGTACCGTCATTTTATCGATTTTAGTTCGAATTATGGTTTTGTAGATACTTCGGTGATTCTCTTGTTTTTTTTTTTTATTCAAATCAGTAAACTCGCAATAATTGATCTTTGTATTGCTAGTGATTACTGTGTTCAAGGAGATTAGAATTACTAAGTCATAATATTGAATAACGAATCCACTTCTAGCAGCTGTTTAGTTATTGGAATAACGAGCTCTAAATAACTAACCCCCTGCTTACTTCAGCCCGCTCGTGAAAGACCATATCATACGGGAAAGGGGATCAGGTAGATTTACATCGAACTAGACTTGGTCGAGATAAGTGAAATCTTAGTGATTCTGGGTTCGAAAATCGGTTTGACCCGCTACATTTCTCCTTCTCCTATACATTATAGATTAAAGAGAACGTTACAACATGGCACAATGGAAACAAAACAGAATGCGATATTTTCATACATCTAGTTGATTTGTGACAGTGACAAGTTAAAGTATTATCGGTATCACAGAAGCATGAACCTGGACACCTGGGCCTTTTTCGTTTATCGCAGTCCAAACGATTGAACGTGTTGGACCAGTTGCTCATTTATGAAATAAGGTCGGACTCAGTAATCTGATGTTGCTTTCAGGCGAGCCTTGACAAAGCCTTGGAAGGCATGCATAAACATGTGCAGGTCCGCCAGGTTATATGCCCGAAAATGTTACATTTAATAACGGACGTACTGGTTGTTCTGCATAAATAAATAGGCCCCTGATGTCGCCCTAAGCTCGTCTTTGACTAGCAATATCAAATCATCATACATCTGGATCCGTATTCATGAAACAGTTCTGGTGTTCGGGCATTGATTCAAACCAACTTCAAAAATATAGACATTTGAATCGGAATTTGGTTTGAAGTCTTCGCAAATTTAATCAACTTCATTGACATATTTCTTATCACCAGAACAAGAAATATCACTGAAGCACAGAATCGGTTAATGTTTAAACGGTTTCATGAATGCGGACCCCGATGTATGTAAGCTGGAGCAAATCCGAAACTGTGGTATTTCATTGTGTTTTCAGTTGCTTTTAGTAGTTTTGTATTTATAATTTCATTTGAACTCAGAGAGAGAAGTTATTACGTCATTTATCTACCAATGCGTTGTTGCTGTTGAAGTTATTGTTGAAAACGTGCTATATTTTTTCGCGAAATATTCAGATTTTTCAGCATTCAACCACGAATCCAATGATATACGTAGGGGAGGGATACACAACCTTCCTCGGCGGACTGGGAAATTTCCACATTGAGAATGTGATACAGGCCCGAATTCCCCTCCGACATTACGAACATCTTACTACAACGGATAAGGATTACGTGCTGTTGAAGTTCGGTGATACTAATGAGTTTATGGTAAGGTTTTACCTCTCGTATCTCAATGTGATATCCTCTGACATATATATGACAGCGATGTAATTAATATCATACAGGTGTGTCATAGTATTGTAATAGTATTTCAAATGTATACGACATTGTAATAGTACGGTACTACCTGGTGGGTATCATCTCACGTGTAAATAGTGATGTAATTTTGTTTCCGTATGATAGCGGTGAAATAGTTGTTGTCGAAACTGTCGTCGTGTTAGTACAATACATAATGCAAACACTACCGAACATGAAAGTCATTACAAAATCTTTTAATTGACATTATCAGAACTTGAAGAATAGCGTAAGACAATGTCTTAGAAAGCACAAGATTTACTTCAAAAACACATTTTTAAATTCCTCTGAAGCTTTATTTTTCACAATCGTTATCGGAAAAATGCTAAATAAAAGATGAGATTGCCGCCTTCAAGCTTCACATACTTATACGTGAGCGCTAACACTCTGTTTTAGTGTAACGTGACGTTTGAGTCTACTCCCGACAATGACCTCGTGGTGTTTATGGACATGGTGGGGAGTACCGATTACCAGTTCTTGTGGCTGATGGTAGTGGCGGATCCACAAGAGATGGTCTTCGGCGGTGGAGAGCAGTTCTCACATTTTAACCTCCGCGAGAGGACATACACTCCACCTGAAGTCGTTACGGTCCTGCGCGCGGACGACCTCAAATATCCTATCTGGACCAGGGAACAAGGTAGGTAATCTATTTCAAAGTTTTGCTGCTTAGTTACATAATGTGCCCCTTGTGCAATGATGGACTTCAGTCTAGAAGGTGAACTTAATTAAGTCAATTTGAACTATATGACATAAGCTGAAGTACACTAATGACGTTCATCACTCAGATGAGAGTAAACTTATGACGTCACATTTGTGTAGGTGTTGGCAGGGATAAGAGTAACCTGGTGACGTACTATGCGGACCTGAAGACAGGAGGGGGAGGTGCCTTTCACACGACATATTACCCCCAGCCGTCCTACGTCAGCTCCCGTCGTTACTACCTCCACTACTCAGACCCCAACTATATGGTCCTCGACTTCAGCGCCCCCGCCTACCACGAGATCTTTATCAAAGGCGATGTGGGCAAGTTCTACTTCAAGTCAGCAACGTCCATGCTCGAGCTAGTGCAGTCCCTGTCTCATTTCCAGGGCCGCATGCCCGCCCTGCCTGACTGGGTGACGTCAGGCATCACAATAGGGGTCCAGGGAGGAACGGACACGGTGCGTACAGTGCGAATTTACTGGTAAATACAGGACTGTTTGTTCTGTATAGTCTATAAATGCTTCTTTATTTGAATTGATTCGGGCTGTACTTTTGACCGCCTATTAGGTGATCGAATATGCTAACAATTAACATATAACTATAGATGTTGACTGGAAAATTCGAAATTGCCCGCTGATTAAAGATGTTCTTACCCCCAGACAATTTTATTTTAGTACCTGCGAGTAGGTATATGCAGTGTTTGGTTTGGTTTATTTTGTTTAACGTCCTATTAACAGCTAAGCTTATTTAAAGACGTGCCGCCATTTGTGTATGCATGCATGCGTGTATGTGTGTCGGTGTACTTGCCTCCTTGTGATAGCGCGGATCTGATGCCGACTTTATAGTGCTATCTCACTGAAATACCATTTCAAAGGCAGCCTGTACAGAATCCCGCCCGGTCACATTATACTTACAACGGGTAATTCAGTTGTTGCCATTATCCTAAATACAGAACATTAAGCAGGGAATAACAAATACCATTTTGAAGGACATAACCCATTGCCTTCCTTACCTGGGCGAACGCTCAACACTCAAGCTAGAAGCGAGGTATTGCCAAGCGAGGTGCTAGGAAATAAAACGTACATGTAAACAGAACTAGACAGAAAGTTAAAGATCTAAAATGTTGCAATTGGTGCAGCATATCTATTTTGGTCGCCTTGTGTCCACAAATAGAGGACACCAAAGCAAATCCCCAATTCTGCAGGGGTTCACTTACGATACATGGAGTGGGTAACAGCAGGTGTATTTTTTTCTCGATCTCCGACCTGCAGGGGTGCTGACGGTAGATAGGGGCTCGCATTTTCGACATTAGACCATGTGGTAATATATGACGCCCTGGTTATTTTGACAACTTGCATCTGGTTGTAAATGCTGAAAATTAACAGTCTAATTGTAGATGCTGGCTAGACTAAAGACAGTCCAGGACGCCGGTATACAGGTGAATGGACTTTGGATCCAGGACTGGTCTGGAGATATTCATACTTCATTCGGGAAGAGAGTCTTCTGGAACTGGAAACTCAACACAACGCTTTACGACAGTGCGTATATTTTATCAGTAATCAATATTTTATAAATAAACTGCATCGAGAAATTACTTGTACGAAAACATAATGTTCTCTTTATATATCAGAATGGAACGAGACCATTGCCGATCTAAAGGGAAAAGGCATCCGGGTTCTTGCCTATGTTAACCCGAACCTCAACAGAGATGGGGACTTATTCAAGGAGGCGGATGCCAAAGGTTATTTCATTAAAGATCCCCGGACGAGTAAAACCCTCCTTACAAATTTCGGGGAGTTCTTCTGCGGTTCTATCGATTTCACCTATCCCGATGCCTTCTCTTGGTATAAAGGTACGTATCTTTGTTATCAGAAATGTTATCGTTACCCATATGTTTTCCACCCCTGCAGGTCTGGGATTGAGAAAAAAATACACCTGCTGTTACCCACTGCATGTCTCGTAAAAGTCGCCTAATGCGGGAACACCCTGCAGAATTGGGAATTCGCTAAAGCGACGAAAATAAATCTGCTGCAACCAATGCAATAGTTGGGATCTTTATATTTTCTCTACCTCTATCTACCTATTATGTCTTAGCGCCTTGCTTGGCAATACCTCACATTATGGCTTTACTGTTAAACGTTCTCCCGGCTGAGGAAGACAATGGGTTCTGTTCCCAGGTCGGGAAGACTAATTGTTAACTTTGCACGTGAAATCCATGCATCTCTCTAGTCTTGGTAAACCTATGTTAAGTGCACGGACCTTCATGTGTGTCAAGTTGTCAATGATTGTTAAACTTGTTCAGTAATTGTTGTAAACTTGATAAAGTTTAAATTTATTTATAGTTGGCAGTAGGCTGTTGTTTCCCCGTAAAGGAGTATTGGGACGTTCCTAATAATCTTGAAAGCCGTCAGAATCTTACATTTTCCTATTTCGTCGCCTCTATTAGATCATTTATGTACAAGTTTATAGGAAAATGTAGTGGTCCTGTGGTCCTAATACTGCCCGGTGGGGTTTCCCACATATAACATCAAGTGAATCAGATGTATACATGTAACCTCTTAGGAAACATCTGAAATGCGTTTGAAAAAGACATCCTTCAACAGTATAAATGCATTGTTCCTTACCCTATAAAATGCACGCTTGTATAGCAGACGTCTATGCGGAACACCTAAGTCTACTATTATAAAGTCCGTCTGACGTCCCAGGTCCGTTTTCGTTATGGCCATGGGTACCTGCGTCAAGCATGGAATCCATACTGCTGATAATACAGGATTTAGTTCCTGTCAAATTGGTCCATGGTCTGATTAAAAACCAGATAACAGGTTGCGATAATTGCCTCTCACCTTTTTTTTCAGATGAGAATTATACAAGCTTCGCTCACGCCGTCTGGTAAACCTCTGTCAGGCGAAAGTTATAAAAGTCGTTCATAAATGATACGGAGTGAACTTGATTGCTTTGCTTTAATTTTGATCAACGTCCTATTAACAGCTAAGATCATTTAAGGACGTGCCTTTATGTGTGTAGTACATGCGTGCTAGCGTGTGTGTATACAGGAGACAGGGTATGCTAGTGTGCTTGCCTCCTTGTGATAGCGCGGATCTGATGCCGACTTTATAGTGCTATCTCACTGAAATACCATGCCGAAAGCACCCAGCACAGTTGTTGCCGTTATCCTAAATGATGAACGTTAAGCAGGGAATAACAACTACCATTTTTAAGGACTTTGGTATGTCCCGGCCTGGGGACAGCACCCATTGCCTTTCTCACCTGGGCAGACATAATAATAATAATAAACTTTATTCATTGAGGATAAAATACATGTTTAGACAAAGGCTAATCTTCCACATGGTCCTCTTGACCATGACGCTAAACATTAAGGCCCAAAGTGAGGTGTTGCCAAGCAAGGCGCTAGAAAATAAAAGGTAGTTAGAAGTAGAAGGAAAGATAAAAATCCCAAATATGGCAATGGGCGCAGCAGATTAATTTTGGTCGCTTTTGTTTCCATAAAAAAGTCCCCAACTCTTCAGGGGGTCCATACATTAGTCGCCTCCTACGTTACATGCAGTGGGTAACAGCACGTGTATTATTTTCCCGATCCCCCACCTGCAGGGGTGTTACACTATATTAGGGATGCCTGTGTCGTGGAAACAACAGTGAGAACAAGCTCTCCAAGGCAGCAATTACATCTTGGTAATCCTGAACTCGTAAAAAAACCCTTCTTCAGATTTTGGACATCGGTGTATTCCATTTTTGTATGGCCCTACGCTTGGAACTATCTCTGAGGAATGGCTTATTACTTACGTTTAATATCTGTCTATCTTGTTCCTGTACTTTCATCTTACCTTCACTAATTCGGATAAGGTGGATGGTATAGGGTTAGTCCTGGCTGTGTAATGGTACAAAGAAGTCTCATTTTCCAGTGTTGATGAAACATGAGGTGGCTAGTATTACAGTATCATATCTGCTTGTGTACGGAGAGAATGTTTTCAGAGGTGGTTTATGTTGCTGGTTTCCCAATTTCGTTGGGAACCGGTGGGGGACTAATAATAACCGAGAAGACATACAAATGTACTTGAGACAATCTCAGACACACAACACCACCGAAATCGGAAAACCAGCATCAAAAACTACCACCGAAAGCATCTTCTCCTGAATGAAGCATAATTGGGGGAATTACTAAGACTGTGTTGTGGGATGGAGGGGTTCGGGGATGGCGGATAGCAAAAATAGGTAATTCTTTCCTGTATTCAGCAAAGTTATAGTATCAGTAGTATAAACATTGGTATACCTTCACCCCCTAGTTCCAGTAGTGCTCTCGTGTATCCAAGCAGAACTTGTGTATCCCACTAGAACTTGTGTATCCCACTAGAACTTGTGTATCCCACTAGACCTTGTGTATCCCACTAGACCCTGTGTGCCCCACTAGACCTTGTGTAACCCAGTATACCTTGTGTATCCCACTATACCTTGGGTGACGCACTATACCTTGTGTAACTCACTAGACCTTGTGTATCCCACTAGACCTTGTGTAACCCAGTATACCTTGTGTATCCCACTAGACCTTGTGTATCCCACTAGACGATGTGTATCCCACTAGACCTTGTGTATCCCACTATACCTTGTGTAACTCACTAGACCTTGTGTATCCCACTAGACCTTATGTATCCCACTAGACCTTGTGTAACCCAGTATAACTTGTGTATCCCACTAGACCTTGTGTATACCACTAGACCTTGTGTAACCCACTTGACCTTGTGTATCCCACTAGACTTTGTGTATTCCACTAGACCTTGTATATCCCACTAGACCTTGGGTGACCCATTATACCTTGTGTAGCCCACTATACCTTGTATAGCCCACTAGACCTTATGTAGCCCACTAGACCTTGTGTATCCCACTAGACCTTGTATATCCCACTAGACGATGTGTATCCCACTAGACCTTGTATATCCCACTATACCTTGGGTGACCCACTATACCTTGTGTAACTCACTAGACCTTGTGTATCCCACTAGACCTTGTGTATCCCACTAGACCTTGTGTAACCCACTTGACCTTGTGTATCCCACTAGACTTTGTGTATCCCACTAGACCTTGTATATTCCACTAGACCTTGGGTGATCCATTAGACCTTGTGTATCCCACTAGACCTTGTGTATCCCACTAGACCTTGGGTGACCTACTAGACCTTGGGTGACCCACTAGACCTTGTGTAGCCCACTAGACATTGTGTATCCCACTAGACGATGTGTATCCCACTAGACCTTGTGTAACCCACTGTACCTTGTGTATCCCATAATACCTTGTGTATCCCACTGTACCTTGTGTAACTCACTAGATCTTGTGTAGCCCACTAGACCTTGTGTATCCCACTAGACCTTGTATATCCCACTAGACGATGTGTATCCCACTAGACCTTGTATATCCCACTATACCTTGGGTGACCCACTATACCTTGTGTAACTCACTAGACCTTGTGTATCCCACAAGACCTTGAGTGACCCACTAGACTTTGTGTATCCCACTAGACCTTGTGTATCCCACTAGACCTTGTATATTCCACTAGACCTTGGGTGACCCATTAGACCTTGTGTGTCTCACTAGACCTTGTGTATCCCACAAGACCTTGAGTGACCCACTAGACTTTGTGTATCCCACTAGACCTTGTATATTCCACTAGACCTTGGGTGACCCATTAGACCTTGTGTGTCTCCCTAGACCTTGTGTATCCCACAAGACCTTGAGTGACCCACTAGACTTTGTGTATCCCCACTAGACCTTGTGTAACCCACTGTACCTTGTGTATCCCATAAGACCTTGTGTATCCCACTAGACCTTGTGCATCCCACTAGACATTGTGTATCCCACTAGACCTTGTCTAACTCACTAGACATTGTGTATCCCACTAGACCTTGTGTATCCCACTAGACCTTGTGTATCCCACTAAACCTTGTGTATCCCACTAGACCTTGTGTAGCCCAGTAGACCTTGTGTATCCCACTAAACCTTGTGTAGCCCACTAGACATTGTGTAACTCACTAGACCTTGTGTATCCCACTAGACCTTGTGTATCCCACTAGACGATGTGTATCCCACTAGACCTTGTGTATCCCACTATACCTTGGGTGACCCACTATACCTTGTGTAACTCACTAGACCTTGTGTATCCCACTAGACCTTGTGTATCCCACTAGACCTTGTGTAACCCACTTGACCTTGTGTATCCCACTAGACTTTGTGTATCCCACTTGACCTTGTATATCCCACTAGACCTTGGGTGACCCATTAGACCTTGTGTATCCCACTTGACCTTGTGTATCCCACTAGACGATGTGTATCCCATGTATATTCCACTAGACCTTGGGTGACCCATTAGACCTTGTGTATCCCACTTGACCTTGTGTATCCCACTAGACCTTGTGTAACCCACTTGACCTTGTGTAACCCACTAGACCTTGTGTGACCACCGAGACCTTGTGTATCCCACTAGACTTTGTGTATCCCACTTGACCTTGTATATCCCACTAGACCTTGGGTGACCCATTAGACCTTGTGTATCCCACTTGACCTTGTGTATCCCATTAGACTTTGTGCATCCCACTAGACCTTGTTTATCCCACTAGACCTTGGGTGACCCACTTGACCTTGTGTATCCCACTTGACCTTGTGTATCCCACTAGACGATGTGTATTGTGTATCCCACTAGACCTTGTGTAGCCCACTAGACCTTGTGTATCCCACTTGACCTTGTGTATCCCATTAGACTTTGTGCATCCCACTAGACCTTGTTTATCCCACTAGACCTTGGGTGACCCATTAGACCTTGTGTATCCCACTTGACCTTGTGTGTCCCATTAGACTTTGTGTATCCCACTAGACCTCGTGTATCCCACTAGACCTTGGGTGATCTACTAGTCTTGGGTGACCCACTGGACCTTGTGTAGCCCAATAGAATTTGTGTATCCCACTAGACCTTCCCACTAGACCTTGTGTATCCCACTAGACCTTGGGTGACCTACTAGTCTTGGGTGACCCACTAGACCTTGTGTAGCCCAATAGAATTTGTGTATCCCACTAGACCTTGTATATCCCACTAGACATTGTGTAACTCACTAGACCTTGTGTATCTCACTGTACCTTGTGTAACTCACTAGACCTTGTGTATCCCACTAGACCTTGTGTATCCCACTATACCTTGTGTAACTCACTAGACCTTGTGTATCCCACTAGACCTTGTGTATCTCACTATACCTTGTGTAACTCACTAGACCTTGTGTATCCCACTAGACCTTGTGTATCCCACTATACCTTGTGTAACTCACTAGACCTTGTGTATCCCACTAGACCTTGTGTATCCCACTATACCTTGTGTAACTCACTAGACCTTGTGTATCCCACTAGACCTTGTGTATCCCACTATACCTTGTGTAACTCACTAGACCTTGTGTATCCCACTAGACCTTGTGTATCCCACTATACCTTGTGTAACTCACTAGACCTTGTGTATCCCACTAGACCTTGTGTAACTCACTAGACATTGTGTATCCCACTAGACATTGTGTATCCCACTATACCTTGTGTAACTCACTAGACCTTGTGTGTCTCACTAGACCTTGTGTATCCCACTAGACCTTGAGTGACCCACTAGACTTTGTGTATCCCACTATACCTTGTGTATCCCACTAGACCTTGGGTGACCTGCTCGTCTTGGGTGACCCACTAGACCTTGTGTATCCCACTAGAATTTGTGTATCCCACTAGACCTTGTATATCCCACTAGACATTGTATAACTCACTAGACCTTGTGTATCCCACTGTACCTTGTGTAACTCACTAGACCTTGTGTATCTCACTAGACCTTGTGTATCCCACTAGACCTTGTGTATCCCACTAGACGATGTGTATCCCACTAGACCTTGTGTATCCCACTATACCTTGGGTGACGCACTATACCTTGTGTAACTCACTAGACATTGTGTATCCAACTAGACATTGTGTATCCAACTAGACCTTGTGCATCCCACTAAACCTTCTGTAGCCCACTAAACCTTGTGTAGCCCACTATACCTTGTGTATCCCACTAGACCTTGTGTATCCCACTAAACCTTGTGTATCCCACTCTACCTTGTGTAACTCACTAGACATTGTGTATCCCACTAGACATTGTGTATCCCACTAGACCTTGTGCATCCCACTAAACCTTGTGTAGCCCACTAGACCTTGTGTATCCCACTAAACCTTGTGTATCCCACTATACCTTGTGCATCCCACTAAACCTTGTGTAGCCCACTAAACCTTGTGTATCCCGCTTGACCTTGTGTAACTTACTAGACCTTGTGTATCCAACTAGACATTGTGTATCCCACTAGACATTGTGTATCCCACTTTACCTTGTGTAACTCACTAGACCTTGTGTATCCCACTAGACCTTGTGTATCCCACTATACCTTGTGTAACTCACTAGACATTGTGTATCCCACTAGACATTGTGTATCCCACTTTACATTGTGTAACTCACTAGACCTTGTGTATCCCACTAGACCTTGTGTATCCCACTAGACCTTGTGCATCCCACTAAACCTTGTGTAGCCCACTAGACCTTGTGTATCCCACTAAACCTTGTGTAACCCACTAGACTTTGTGTATCCCACTGCACCTTGTGTACCCCACTATACCTTGTGTATCCCACTATACCTTGTGTATCCCACTATACCTTGTGTAACCCTCTGCACCTTGTGTATCCCACTATACCTTGTGTATCCCACTAGACCTTGTGTATCCCACTAAACCTTGTGTATCCCTCTATACCTTGTGTAACCCACTAGACCCTGTGTGCCCCACTGCACCTTGTGTAACCCACTAAACCTTGTGTATCCCACTATACCTTGGGTAACCCACTAGACCGTGTGTAACCCACTAGAACTTGGGTGACCCACTAGAACTTGTGTATCCCACTAGACCTTGGGTGACCCACTAGACCTTGTGTATCCCACTATACCTTGTGTAACTCACTAGACCTTGTGTATCCCACTTTACCTTGTGTAACTCACTAGACTTTGTGTATCCCACTAGACCTTGTGTATTCCACTAAACCTTGTGTATCCCACTAGACCTTGTGTAACCCACTAGAACTTGGGTGACCCACTAGAACCTGTTTATCCCACTAGACCTTGGGTGACGCACTTGACCTTGTGTAGCCTCACTAGATCTTGTGTAGCCCACTAGACCTTGTGTATCCCTCTTTACCTTGTGTAACTCACTAGACATTGTGTATCCCACTATACCTTGTGTATCCCAATAGACCTTGTGTATCCCATTAGACCCTGTGTAACCCACTGCACCTTGTGTAACCCACTAAACCTTGTGTATCCCTCTATACCTTGTGTAACCCACTAGACCTTGTGTAACCCACTAGAACTTGGGTGACCCACTAGAACTTGTGTATCCCACTAGACATTGTGTGACCCACTAGACCTTGTGTATCCCACTATACCTTGTGTAACTCACTAGACCTTGTGTATCCCCCTAGACCTTGTGTATCCCACTAGACCTTGTGTATCCCACTAGACCTTGTGTAACCCACTGCACCTTGTGTAACGCACTAAACCTTGTGTATCCCTCTATACCTTGTGTAACCCACTAGACCTTGTGTAACCCACTAGAACTTGGGTGACCCACTTGAACTTGTGTATCCCACTAGACATTGTGTGACCCACTAGTAACTCACTAGACATTGTGTATCCCACTAGACCTTGTGTAATTCACTAGACATTGTGTATCCCACTAGACCTTGTGCATCCCATTAAACCTTGTGTATCCCACTATACCTTGCGTAACTCACTAGACATTGTGTATCCCACTAGACCTTGTGCATCCCACTTAACCTTGTGTAACCCACTATACCTTGTGTATCCCACTAGACCTTGTGTATCCCACTAAACCTTGTGTATCCCACTATACCTTGTGTATCCCACTAGACTTTGTGTATCCCACTAGACCTTGTGCATCCCACTAAACCTTGTGTAGCCCACTATACCTTGTGTATCCCACTAGACCTTGTGTATCCCACTAGACCTTGTGTATCCCACTAAACCTTGTGTATCCCACTATACCTTGTGTAACTCACAAGACATTGTGTATCCCACTAGACCTTGTGCATCCCACTAAACCTTGTGTAACCCACTAGACATTGTGTATCCCACTAGACATTGTGTATCCCACTAGACCTTGTGCATCCCACTAAACCTTGTGTAGCCCACTATACCTTGTGTATCCCACTAGACCTTGTGTATCCCACTAGACCTTGTGTATCCCACTAAACCTTGTGTATCCCACTATACCTTGTGTAACTCACAAGACATTGTGTATCCCACTAGACCTTGTGCATCCCACTAAACCTTGTGTAACCCACTAGACATTGTGTATCCCACTAGACATTGTGTATCCCACTAGACCTTGTGCATCCCACTAAACCTTGTGTAGCCCACTAAACCTTGTGTATCCCGCTTGACCTTGGGTGACCCACTAGACGATGTGTATTCCTCTAGACCTTGTGTAACCCACTGCACCTTGTGTAACCCACTAAACCTTGTGTATCCCACTATACCTTGTGTAACCCACTAGACCTTGTGTAACCCACTAGACCTTGGGTGACCCACTAGAACTTGTGTATCCCACTAGACCTTGGGTGACCCACTGGACGATGTGTATTCCTCTAGACCTTGTGTATCCCACTAGACCTTGTGTATCCCATTACCTTGTTTAAGAACACGTTGATAACTAATTAAAGTTCGTCTTAACTGGCATTTCGCAGCATGTGTATAGCTGGTCACCAAATGTTATCGTTCGTGGTTTGGTTACAGAGACAATCCTAAAGCAGAACATGATCGATATCGGCCTTGGAGGATGGATGGCGGATTTCGGGGAATACCTCCCTACCACGGCTCTGTTTCATAACGCCAAATCAGGCGAAACACTTCACAACATGTGGCCGATCTACTGGGGCCGGATGAACAGGGCTGCAATACAAGAATCAGGAAAGGAAGGCGAGATCGTCTTCTTTATGAGAGCAGGGCACTCGGGTAAGGATTTGCTACTCTGTTATAAAACACAAGGTATAGATCAAATCTCGGATAGAAAAAAGACAACTCGAGTAGGTACCAAAATGTAAGATTCAATTATTTGGATAAGAAACAGTATATAACAGGTAGCCATGTACGGAGCCTATACTCCGTTATATAGGTAACAAATTCTTGTGTGAAGTTAGGTTCGGATACTCGATTAAAAAGTTTATACTCAACTGTGGAAAAATACAGGTACATATGTAAGATGTAGATAAACAGGTAAGTCACGTGTACACATTTACCCATCTTACGGAACAACTAAAGATATGTATACATAGCGAACACAGGTAACGAGGTGTTCTGCAGGTTAGCGTATTCCAGTAATTTGCTGGTACATATGTAGGTACTCGGAGACTATACATCAATTATACTTATTACAGATTTAGTAATTGTTTTAGTACGCAGTTCTATGAACCTACCAGCTGGCAATATAATACATGTATCTCTGACAGGGATAACGATAGGAGGTAACGATAAAAAAGGATAACAATGAGAGGAAGCTCTGACAAGGTAGATACATTTTACATTTGATAATAACGTGTACATGGTGCTGAAGACAATTATGCTTCCATTGTATCATCTGAGGCTTTTTTTTAATATAAGGTATCTCCAACTTCACGACGTTGATGTGGGCGGGGGACCAGAACGTGAACTTTGACCCTGCGGATGGCCTACCCTCTACTGTTGTGGCTGCTCTGTCTGCGGGGGTTTCGGGAATAGGAATGACCCACTTCGATATTGGGGGATATACCACGTTTGCAAGCATGGGACTAAAACGCACGCCTGAATTGCTCATCCGATCTGGCGAAATGGCTGTCTTTACGCCGTACATGCGCACGCACGAAGGTAAGTTAGTGAAAAGTCATGCTAAATATGACGCGGTGTTTTTCTGTTCTTCTGTCCGCCTTGATACCAACTTAACTTGATGATAATATCCAACGAGACAAACCTGAGAAATGGTATACATAAGTTGCACACATCACAGTAGTAACGCTATAGCCATAACAGTCAAATATATTTTTTGTTTCCTAGGTAATCAGCCTGAGGCAAACGTACAAGTGTACTCAAATCCATACCTGCTGCAGCACTTTGCGCGTCTGTCTCGAGCGCATAGCCTTCTAGCCAACTACACCCGAGCTGCCGTGGCGGAGTACGTAAGAAATGGGACGCCAGTACAGCGTCCAATGTTCTTTTCAGACAACACAACTCTCAGTTTCCAAGCCAAGTACCAGTACATGTACGGCCCCGACCTTGTTGTGGCCCCGATAGTAACACAGGGGGCCACTGCAGGGGATTGTTACCTTCCTCCAGGGACATGGGTAAACTTATGGGACGGGGGCGACTACGCCGGTTTTAAAAAGTACTCAAACCTTTCGGCACCCCTTGGGAAACCTTTAGTATTCTATAACATTGAGTCTCCCTATAAAACTACATTTGAAGCAATAAAGAAGTTACCGAATCCGCCCACTCCCCCAATTATCCCCACTACCAAACCAACTGTAAGTCCTTGCATCAACAAGGCAGCAGCTTTTGGCCATGATGTCTGGTGGAGTCTGCTAAGTATGTTCGTTATTAGTCAGTATCTTGCAGTTAGTTTATAAAAGCTACATGTACATACTTTACGCTCACTTCTGTTCTCTGCACCCCTGGAATATGTCAGGACGAAATTGTCGGCCTTATACCTTATACATCTACACGAAACAAGTAGACTAGTGTGATCCTCAGATTTACATCACAGGAATCAAATTGCAGCGTAACGGTAACAGTACCCGGCTTTGGAGTTGGTTCTCGCTCTCTGTAATCTTTAAATGATAGGTATGAGCCCTGCGATTAGTTTTTTTCTTGAAACCAATCAGATAGCTGATTGTGTATTTTCGAATTCTACATGATGTACTCCAGGGATGCAGAAAACGGAGGTCGGCGTTACTCTGGGATTTCAAGGATAGCCAACGATAACAGACAACATTCTTTGCGGTAAAAGTCGATTGAAATGACGAAAAAAAAAATTTGAATGCAATGAGTCTATACAGAACCAGTGGAAATATTGTGTCAACGAGCATCACACGTAAACCATGTACTAAATTATTATGTATCTTTTATTAACTTGTAAGTTCAGAAAACCCCGATGGTATCCAATATCACAACTCCTGACTATACTATTGTTGCTGTCATGTTCGACGTTTGTTGCCATGGTAATATGAAGGAATTAGTGAAATGAATACATCCGTTTGCTGAAGGATCGTATAAGCGATCCTCGACTCTTATGTTACGCATGAGGTATGATGAAAATATCTCTGTGCACATGTAACAGTAGACTCCATTCAATCGCAGTAGACCTAACTCCATCTAATCGCAGTGGACGTAACGCCATCAAATCGAATTAGACTTACCTCCATCCAATCGCAGTTGCCGTAACTCAATCTAATCGCAGCAGACGTAACTCCATCCAATCGCAGTAGACGTAACTTCATCCAATTGCAGTAGACTTAACTCCATCCAATCGCAGTAGACTTAACTCCATCCAATCGCAGTAGACGTAACTTCATCCAATCGCTGTAGACGTAACTCCATCCAATCTCACTAGACCTAACTCCATCCAATCGCAGCAGATGTAACTCTATCCAATCGCAGCAGACGTAACTCCATCCAATCGCAGTAGACGTAACTCCATCCAATCGCAGTAGACGTAACTTCATCCAATCGCTGTAGACGTAACTCCATCCAATCTCACTAGACCTAACTCCATCCAATCGCAGCAGCTGTAACTCCATCCAATCGCAGCAGACGTAACTCCATCCAATCGCAGTAGACGTAACTCCATCCAATCGCAGTAGACGTAACTCAATCCAATCGCTTTAGACGTAACTCCATCCAATCGCAGTAGACGTAACTCCATCCAATTGCAGTAGACATAACTTTTATAGATGTTGTTTATTCATTTTTACCGGTTATCATTTGTATTCGATACGTGTGCCGTTATGGATATATAAAACATTGTTATATTTTGTATGACTGCAGCACTGAAACTTATCATAATAAAGATATACGTAGTTCTGAAACGATAGTTAGTCAGACTTTTGTTTCTATGATAAGCACGTGGTGCCACAGCACAGTTAAATGAAGGGTGGCACAAATTCACAACAAAGAAAACAGACGAGAATAAAGGTAAACATGATTTATTGTGTACGTTACATGCAAGGTGAAAGTAGACAAGACGATGGATTTGAGTAAAGGTTTGATCATTGAATAGGTGAGAACAATGTTACATGACTGGAGAGACGACATACTCCACACACATGTAAAGTCAGGCGAGTACATCGAAGGTATGGCGGACACTGCTCGGCTGTTACACGTTGTCGTCCGTGTCTGAAATCATAATTTATAACAAATGCAGATAGAGAAAGAGAAAAACAAATATTGATAAGCGTTCTGACAACGAATAACTACCAGTAACTTTTGATAATTTTCGTCACGTGATAAACACACTGTAAGTAACAGTGTATAGTCACGTTTCAGATGAGAAGTTGGACTAAAGCAGGTCAATGGGAGACAACTCTTACATACTATTACATTAAGTTCCTAAAACAATTGTTTAATCTGTACCATGAACTAATTAAAAAACAATTCGGCTTCTCCGTCGAAAAATTATAAGTTTGAAATAAACAACTTTTGCGAAACCACCATATATATATATATATATATGCCACGTATCATTACTAATAGAAAGTTGCCCATATTTAAATGTAACTCGAAACTAATCATTCATTTGAGTAAATAGTATCTTAGCCCCACAATAAGACCTATCCAAAGGCATCACCAGCACAGTTTCTTCGTCTTATTGAAACCGGAAATGGCTTAATGGAGTAAAGTTAATCTCGTTGTGGAAAAATCACTGGTTCGATGTTGGTAAAAAAAAGCAATAAATACAAATAATTCGTACCACGGACTTAGATAGCAATCTAATTCCGCGTTTGTACTAAACTATCTCATAGAGGACCGAAAGGATTTAAATAATGCGTCATATTTAAACGAAGCTAGATATTGACTTTGAATCTTTAAGAACACTGAGCTCCTAGGGTAACGTGAAGTCATATTAAACAATCGAGTGACGTGGAATGTCCGGGCATGGCTTGACCAGATATGTAAATGATATGTGTTCAACTGAATGTTTTCCGGAGACAACTCGACCATATTTGTTTGTGATGTCCAACCCTTTTGATATTCATCGAGTAATTGCCAAACCCTGAATCCATAAAACAGATGAATAAGATGGTAGTTTTAAAATTCAAATACAGTTATATGTATGTTTAAAAAATAATTATATAACATTCTACGTTTATAAGGTGATCCCTCTAAGTTAGGAAATGTCAAAATCTATCTATAACGCTTGAAACCTTACCCGCGGCCGACACGATCGGAGCAGAAGTCTTTCCTTGCTCTAGGACGGGATCTGGGTGTGTCTGGGGTCCTTTGACACACACCCCTCTCAGGAATTGCATGTACCATGGGGGCCGCCCGTCATAGAAGCCCCCGGGGGTGAGGCACTTCAGACCGAAGCCACACCTACAACATTGCACGGTTTAGTCTCACCTAGCACACTGTACATTTCTGAAATACCTAGTCTCACCTAGCATACATTTCTAAAATACCTAGTCTCCCCTAGCATACATTTCTAAAATACCTAGTCTCACCTAGCATACATTTTTAAAATACCTAGTCTCACCTAGCATACATTTCTATAATACCTAGTCTCACCTAGCATACATTTCTATAATACCTTGTCTCACCTAGCATACATTTCAACTTTCACACCTGATCTCAATTTGGTTATAGTCTGTTTCAAAATTATGTAGATTGTAGTTACATACATATTATTATTAAGAACATACAAGTGTGTCTACTTTAATCAGAGAAATAAAAAGGATACCTTTATTTTACATGAAGATAATAACGATTGTTCAGTTATTATAACAAGTACAGTACTAGCCGCCTGCGTGCTATTACAACCTTTTTAAAATTATTGTTGATCAAGTAAAGCCTCAGTATCTAATCTTAATATATATTTTTTTTTAAATAATGTAATGCATCGTCTATAAGTTTCAACTGATACAATAACAGTTGACTGAATGTTGTTTGTCCCCTACATTTCTATGGTTATGTCTGCAGAATTTCAATCTCAAGCTGATTTTATGTGGATATACACTAAAGATAGGAAAAAATATTATTTTGCTAATTTTAACACATGTTTGGTCAGTGCTACCAATGATGTCACCTCCAGTAACATTAACCCGATACGCCAATAATGACATCAGCTCGTGACGTGCGCAGCCCAGCGGTGCATGTATCCTGTCTAGTACAATAGGTAGGGACTTCGTAACACCCGTGTTGGCATTAGCTCGCGTTTAGATAATTTTGAAGAAGAACGTCATGGGATCAGTCCCTATATGCCCAACTCGTTCACCCGTTGTCAGTATAATGTCACCGGGCGGAATGCTGTGCTAGGTGCATTCGGCATGGTTTTTCAGTGAGATAGCACTTTAAAGTCGGAATCAGATCTGCGCTTTCACAAGGAGGCAAGTACACCAACATACCCTGTCTCCTGCATACACACACGCAATCACGCATTCACTACACACATGGAGCCACGTCCTTAAATGATCTTATTTGTTAATAGGACGCTAAACAAAATTAAACCCAACCAAACCAACCCTATATGTCGTGACATACAAACGTCCTCAAACTGTGTACATGTTCCCCGCTTATGTTTAGTCTCTAGGGTAAGCTGAACGACTGATTTACCCATTGTCAGTAAATGTAACCGGGTGGAGTACGGTGCCGAGTGCTTTCGGCATGGTCTTCCAGTAAAGTAAACCTCCGAAACTGACACCAGACCCGCGCTTTCGCAAAGTGGCAGTTACACCAACATATCGCCTCCAGTAAACACACACACATTATAATCATGGATACCTCATGTGTTAAAATAAACTGAATTGTTACACAAGATGCTAGTGACGAGCAACATGCAATTTTTAAGGCACCAACGATTGGTTACTTAACTAATTGTATCAACTTCTGATTTTAACTATCAAGGATTCAAACAGAATATGGTGAACAAAGGCTGCGTTTAGCAGTAGGCTAGAGTACAGGTTCCCTGTGACATGGGATCATACACATGTACTTACGTTTTGTAAAAAACAATGTAAACACAAATTGCTGGTTAGTCAAACTAAGCTACTTAAGCACACTACCTTGGAGAGAAAGCCTCACATAGCTGACCCTCAAGTCGGACGCACGTCGGACAGCATCCACACGGAATTTTGTCCAGCTCACAACTCTCCGGGGGATCACCGCACGTGACGTTGTAGCAGGGAGAGCAAGGTAGCTGTGGATCCTCGCCCAATACCTCCATCGCTGTCACCAATACCACTACCGCGCATACACACAGGACGGTCCTCGTTGATCCCATTGTTACCACAGTTGCTATTGTCAAATGTGTTTCACTAGTGTTTATAATTTCAACCGTCAAACCGAAACAAGAAGTTAATATTCACAGCACGACAGAATAACCGATTTCCAACTGGCAGTGGTGTCTCAGATACAGATCTCAGACAGATACCTCTGTCCACACAGCCCGCGAGTGGCGTTTTATTGTAAGAATGACGTCACATGACAGGGGCGCGTGGATGTTGTCAGGGGTTATCACCTACCAATGTGGGACTGGCGTGACCGACGAGCTGTTCGTATCTAAGACCACAAGACTGATCTCTGAGCACTGTACATTGAAACATTCCTTGTAAGCTTGTTTTCGGTATTGCAAATTCCGAAGTCTATTTACATATACATGCAACTTACACAATCGACTTCTACTGATTCAGACTACGGTGACCCTCATTTGATGCCACAAGAAGTACCAATAACACGGTGATAACGATCGTGAATCGGTTACTGTCCTTTGTCGCTTTTTAACCACTTAACAATCTCCATACCCAGAACGAAGAAAAAGAGGTCAGATCTGCATAAAATCATCGTTTTGAAAAGTCGAACGGAGTAAAAAATTATGGCGACCGTATTTTGAAAACATGGGAGCAAGAACCTTTCTTATCGTACAGACATTTGACATGTGAACAGTCTGACGTTCTGTGTATGTAGGTGGGCTGGCCACCGTTATTGACGTTCTCTCAGTACATTAGACCGGTCACAAACTGTAGCTGTTATTAGTTATAGGTAACAGCTGTTCCGGTTATTGTCGGTTCCTCTGTTGTTAGGTAGTTGCCGTTTCCATTGGTGTGTACACGTTATTAGTGATCATGTTGTACTAAGGTGTAACCAGTTTATCAACTACCAGTTCCTACAATTTCGGTAGAAATAATGATAAGACATAATCATAAATCATAAAGACTTTCCGTCGTTTTGGCTGGTTAACATTCCGGGCTATGGAACGTGGCAGTTTGAAAACTGGCGCCTTTTGATTTTGTGTTTCAACAAGTTTTTCAAATTTTGTATTTACCAAATGCAATACAGCATATAGGTTATACAGTTACATCACACATGATTCATAATAAAGTACAATATACAAGATGGCGGAGGATAATTCATGGTTCACATTTAACATCTATTTTTTTACTGACCCACAAGGGCTTTTCTTTTGACATAACTGGGTGTGTTCATCCGCGATGAAGTACCGTAACGGGTACTTCGGTTTAACAACCACATTCTTTTACGAATATTCAGAATTGATTAAAATCGACCAATATCAAACTAGCTGAAGTGTTTTATGAAATGGTCACATATACATGTATATGTAGGGCATGACTGATCAAGGTACGCCAGTACTAGTGTCGTCATTCTGGTGTCAATACCAGTTACCAGTCTGGGCTCCTATTTATAAAAGCGTTCCCATGTTCATGGAATAATTCTGTGGTGATGCCAACTTTCTTGTAACTCGCTTTAATCGTGTGACACGGTCGGTCAAGTGTTATCATTTAAACAGCATCCGAATTGAAGTCTCTCCAAAATACTTCCAAATCAAAATGTGATGTTGTTTTATCTATCTATCACTGAAATAAATCTTTAGGCTTGAGCACAGGATCTGAGTTAGAGAATTAGAATGGTCTCGTGAATACGGAACCAATTTTTATGGATCAAAACTTAAGTGCAGTGAAAGTGTACATACATCAACACAATATTCTTTGTCATTGCTTTGTTAAATCACATTGCCGTTACATTTGTACCATTTTCTTGGTTTCCCCATCCATTGCTCTGTTAAATCTCTTTGCCGTTACATTTGTTCCATTTTCTTGGTTTCCCCATCCATTGCTCTGTTAAATCCCTTTGCCGTTACATTTGTACCATTTTCTTGGTTTCCCCATCCATTGCTCTGTTAAATCCCTTTGCCGTTACATTTGTACCATTTTCTTGGTTTCCCGATCCATTGCTCTGTTAAATCACTTTGCCGTTACATTTGTACCCTTTTCTTGGTTTCCCCATCCATTGCTTTGTTAAATCACATTGCCGTTACATTTGTACCATTTTCTTGGTTTCCCAATCCATTGCTCTGTTAAATCACTTTGCCGTTACATTTGTACCATTTTCTTGGTTTCCCCATACATTGCTCTGTTAAATTACTTTGCCGTTACATTTGTACCATTTTCTTGGTTTCCCCATCCATTGCTCTGTTAAATCACTTTGCCTTTACATTTGTACCATTTCCTTGGTTTCCCCATCCATTGCTCTGTTAAATCACTTTGCCGTTACATTTGTACCATTTTCTTGGTTTCCCCATCCATTGGTCTGTTAAATCACTTTTCCGTTACATTTGTACCATTTTCTTGGTTTCCCCATACATTGCTCTGTTAAATCACTTTGCCGTTACATTTGTACCATTTTCTTTTTTTTTTTTATTTCACTCAGACACACATAATATGTGTAATAAGAGGTCATGTATATACACTGTATTACATAGTTTAAGTGAATGACAGGCAGAACATTCTATATCATAGCATGGTACATAATAATATATATACGTGTAGTTACATACAAATAATTCAGTGTCCAACTTATATAAAATGTCACTAGCAAACAAAAGAAAAACTTATACAATAGAGACACAAGAGTACTTTTGTTAATTTTTGAACAAATAAGCTTACACTTTTTAACAATTTCATATTAAAAATTGTGAACATTCCTTTCATTTTATGTTGGTTTGGACTTGTATAAAAATAGGCCGGAATATGTTTTCCCCTTATTTTGACTAAAGTGTCGTTATTACAAGTATAGAAGCCGAGGGTTAGACAACAATAAAACTCACCCCGAGGGTTGGAGGTTTCTCTGTTACACCCTTAGGGGATGGTTATTTTTCTTCCATCCTATTATTTCAGTCACAGCTCTACCGACACTCACAGTAGGTTAGACAAAAACACACGTGGGATATGAATATCGATTTCTCCTTTGATGACGTCAAAATTACAGGTGACACATTTTAATGACGTCACAATTGAACACGTGCTAATCGGTTCTCGTTTCCCCCACTTTTTAAAATAACATGGGGGAATAATGTTGTTAGAAGGATTATAGTCTGTTTCTAAGTAGTGTGGGCAGTATTTACCTGTGTTTTTACCTGTTTTTACATGTGTTGTTACCTGTGGTTAACCCTTCTATCTAAGGTGGTGTTTTATCATATTTAATTAAAAACATATTATATAAGTTTTTTCAGATGTGTTATGATAAATGTTGAAATTATTTAAATATTAATCATATATATAAATATATATATTCAGTATTAAATATATCCATTTTGTAGTCCTTGTGCTGCTGATAAGATGATAATATGAAATGTGTTATTTCATTTTCTGGAACTTTAAAAATATTAATATAACTATTTATTAAATAAATACAAAATGTAAGAATGTAATGTGTGACTAAGAGTGTGGTGTTTAACAGCTAATTAATCAGTTAATTAATCAAAATTCCTAGATGTTATAAGTATCTTATAACTATCATAAAAATCATTGAACATCTATAATTATCCAAGATATCATTTCCTTCCATGTGAGCTAAAAGTGATCACGGCCTATGCTTATTCAATTCAATTCAATTTATTACCAAATGCACATTGCATATAGGCGTACAGAAATACACATACATATAAATACTTTACAAATATCTTGTACAATGGCCGAGAACATATGCAATAGATTCAATTCCATACATAATATTTACAAATTATGAAATTGTCATCAGTTTGGGAAAACTTTAAGGTTTTCCTAAGATAACTTAGCGGACTCTTATAAAGCATAATTTAGTTGCATAATTTAGTTGTTTATGAAATAATACAAATAAAGCCTTAATCTAACCAAATTTCTAGGAAATAACAAAACTTCAAAGTCAATCATACAACCTCAACATGAAGGTAGAACGAGTACTATATATTATATAATGAAATGAGATTATAACTCATTGTGAAGTAAAAGACATAGATCTCAATCGCATTATACAGTAACAAAACGTTTATAGCAAGACTTTGATACAGCTTATATTTCATAATATACGATTTCTCTTAACAGTTGCCTGAATCAAGTTGTACCATTTTCTTGGTTTCCCCATCCATTGGTCTGTTAAATCACTTTTCCGTTACATTTGTAACATTTTCTTGGTTTCCCCATACATTGCTTTGAGTGTACATGTATAAGCCAAGGAAAAGGTCGCTGTTACTAAAAATAAAGAAAGAAACCATATTCTATACGAGTGATATTTGCTATGGCCCAAAGTCGATGTTGACTATCATTAAAGAAAGAAAGAAAATATTTTAGATGGTTTCAATTGAAATCAAGGTCTATGCCGACTTTCAAATATTCTCCCTGTATTAAATCTACAGCTACCTCTCGATTTCTTTCTTTCAAAATATTTTTTCCAATTCTCTATGACCACCTCAGATACTAACCCATTTCACTCGTCTTTTCCCCACTGTACTATGTACATAACAGACGTTCTATCAGCGCTCTACATAAAACATTAACTTTGTGTATTTCTGAGTACAATAAGGTCTACTTGACCTGTATAACGTAGTCAAAAACAGTCTCAGTGACAGTAACATTTAAATCGGGGTTCAGATCCGCCAGAAAAGATAATCTAAATCTGTCAAATAGTGATACGGGTGGGATTTAGGGATGTGTGAATTGCGTGGGCGTAACTTTAGGCGTATCCTGAACTAAAAATGCCGAGGTTTGAGCATATTGATGGGTCTTTAAATAGTAGCAAGTTTACAACACAAGCTTATATCCTTAACGTCACATCCAAAAGTCAACTGAGATAAATACCCTGGTAGCTTTATAAGCTTTATGTACAGAGGAAACAAGGTGGCTGTTATATATGTCATTTCGTGATTTCGATATTTCGCAACGAAATAACAGTTATCGACGTCTTTTCATCCAGCATATCATTCGTCTTTTTCAGCAAAATAACGAAATAACGAACAAAAGTTAATGCATTAACAGATAAAGTAAGTCACTGTTTAGCGACCAACTTCTTTCTAGAAATAACGAGACAAATGATCTTGTGCCCTGTTAATCAACGTTTTGTGGCTCCAATAATCTGCAATTAATTAAATCATCGTTATGTCGTCCCTCTAATCATCATTGTAAATTTAACTTTTCGAAGAAATA